TGGTATATTACTGTATAACGATAAAAAATATACATAAAGTGCCAAAAAAAAACCTTCCTTACACTCACATAAGGTGGTTAGACACCAATTTTCATGGAATTATATGCCTCCCAAATCACAGATGATGATCCATCCTTAACTTCTCCAAGCTCTCACTCATGGATGGATGGATAGGGGTAATTTGTGACCAGCTTGTAACTCTCAAACCTTCACTAATAATTCCTCCTTAGTTTACCCCGAATTCATTCTCATGGATGGATGAAAAATGCAAAAGAAAGGATACCAAAATAGCGTAATACTGTAAAAAAAAACTTTTAATACTCAAGTGATGCTCCAAATGCACTCACATTTTAAAAGTGAATATAAACCTTTTTGTAAATAAATCAGACTCCTCAAACTTGATCCAATAGCCCTTCTGACAATTCCAGCTAGGCAGACACAATTGTTCAGCTGTGGCAATGAAGAACTGGCAAAATTGTAGCATTAGATCTCTTTTCCCACATTAAAGATGGCCACGGAATGCCGCATCAGCGTGCGTTCCACTCACCGGATATGACGTCACACGTACAGGGTCGGAACCGGAAGTTACGTCAACGCGTTTTGCCTTCCAACAGGGCGTCGTGAGACTTTTGTTGGATTTTAATATATAATTTTTCACAATTGTATTATTTGTATTATTTGCACTGTATCACTTTTATGAGTATATTTTGATGTTTAGTCAATTTCTGAACAGCAGCATTTATTTTAATTTATGGTTTATTCCTTTGGCGCAAGTTTTATATATATATATATATATATATATCACAAGTGAGTACACCCCTCGCATTTTGTAAAGTAGTGAGTGTACAGCTTGTATAACAGTGTAAATTTGCTGTCCCCTCAAAATAACTCAACACACAGCAATTAATGTCTAAACCGCTGGCAACAAAGGTGAAAATGTCCAAATTAGGCCCAAAGTGTCAATATTTTGTGTTGCAACCATATTTTCCAGCACTGCCTTAACCCTCTTGGGCATGGAGTTCATGCCTTGGGCCCAATTAGCCATTTTCCCTCCCTGGTGTCATGTGACTCATTAGTCTTACAAGGTCTCAGGTGTGAATAGGTAGCAGGTGTGTTATGTTTGGTGTTATCGCTCTCACTATCTCCTACTGGTCACTGGAAGTTCAACATGGCACCTCATGGCAAAGAACTCTCTGAAGATCTGAAAAAAAGAATTGTTGCTCTACATAAAGATGGCCTAGGCTGTAAGAAAATTGCCAAGACCTTGAAACTGAGCTGCAGCACGGTGGCCAAGACCATACAGTGGTTTAACAGGACAGGTTTCACTCAGAACAGGCCTCGCCATGGTCGACCAAAGAAGTTGAGTGCATCAGCATCATATCCAGAGGTTGTCTTTGGGAAATAGACGTATGAGTGCTGCCAGCATTGCTGCAGAGGTTGACAGATGGTGTCAAGCGTGTGTGGTGGCAACCAGGTGAGGAGTACAAAGACAAGTGTGTCTTGCCTACAGTCAAGTATGGTGGTGGGAGTGTCATGATTTGGGGCTGTATGAGTGCTGCTGACACTAGGGAGCTACAGTTCATTGAGGAAACCATGAATGCCAACATGTACTGTGACATACTGAAGCAGAGAATGATCCCCTCTCTTTGGAGACTTGGCCGCAGGGCAGTATTCCAAAATAACGAACCCAAACACACCTCCAAGACGACCACTGCCTTGCTAAAGAAGCTGAGGGTAAAGGTGATGGACTGGCCAAGCATGTCTCCAGACCTAAACCCTATTGAGTATCTGTGGGGCATCCTCAAACAGAAGGTGGAGGAGTGCAAGGTCTCTAACATCCACCAGCTCCATGATGTCATCATGAGGAGTGGGAGAGGACTTCAGTGAAGCTCTAGTGAACTCCACGCCCAAGAGGGTTCAGGCAGTGCTGGAAAATAATGGTGCCCACACAAAATATTGACACTTTGGGCCTAATTTGGACATTTTCACTTAGGGGTGTACTCACTTTTGTTGCCAGCGGTTTAGACATTAATGGCTGTATGTTGAGTTATTTTGAGGGGACAGCAAATTTACACTGTTATACAAGCTGTACACTCACTACTTTACATTGTAGCAAAGTGTCATTTCTTCAGTGTTGTCACATGAAAAGATACAATAATATATTTACAAAAATGTGAGGGCTGTACTCACTACTGTGAGATTGTGTGTGTGTGTGTATGTATATATAAAACACCAAACACAAGCAAGGGTGCTAACTCCACTGGTTCCAAAAAGTCGGAAGTGTCTAGTTCTCTTAAAGAAGAAAGGTATGTCTATTACAATCCAGGCATCCATGTTAATGAGCCAGCATGAAACACAGAGAGAGAAAAAAAAAAGGGGGGGGGGTAGAAAAGCAGGGGGGTGGGTTTACCCTTTAAAAACTGCTTGGTAAACCTCTAGAAATTCAGGTAATAGAGGAGTGTTTTAAAGCCCCTCAGAGGGCTATGAAAAAAAACGTATTCCAATCTTCTGAATAAAATAATGTAGTGCGATGTATTCAGTTGATCTGTGCCATTAATCATTGGCGCACAGACTGCAGCAAAAAGACTGGTGAATTGACCTCTTTGGTTTATTAATCTTTCGGAGAGCCTGCTAACGCTTTCCGTATGCCAGCCCCTCCAGTCTGACTAAATTGCATCTTCTACAATGACTCAGAGCATACCAATCTTTAGAAGTACAAGTCTTCTGACTCACTTTGAAGAATTTGATTAAACTCTTTGGTGGAACACTGGAAGGCAACCATAATGTCACAAAGGAAGCAGACAGGCAACCAAGCAATGTCTGATGTGAGGCCTCAGGTATGTGTGGATGAAGCATGCTTCGAAATAGAGCAGTACAGTGATGTTCCCATTCTGTGGCCTCAGTCTATAAATCATATAAAATGACGTTTCCTGTCATATCATTATTGGGGGAAAAGACAGTTAATCCAAAGTCTTTGTAATGTACTTAAAGTGTGTAAGTCCAGCCAAAACATACTATGTCTTAGTTGGATAGAATTTGCGGAGGATATAATGTCTGTCAGGTCTTCGCAGATATCTGTGATGTCACTGGGGAGATTTAACCTCACTTCATGCCTCTGTGACAACAGTCATGAGAATGTCTAACAAAGGTACAGGCAGCAAGAAAAAGCTGGTGGATGTTTCGGTCTTCCCCCACTCTTTATAATGGGTTTTTAATTGTCTGTTACAGTGGTTTCCTCTCACTTGGTGACAACATTTTCAGGGGAAATTTCTCCCACAAAGACACAAACAGACACAAAAGAGGTTGCCCCCCCCCCCCTTCCCTTCCTATACAGTCATGGTCAAAAATAATGGTTCCCCTGTATTTCTGTCTGATTTTGCACCACCAGAAAATTGTTGGAATCACAAATGTTTAGGCATTCTTATGTTTATTTCTTTTGTTTGTATTGGTATGACACAAAAAAGTGGAGAAATAAAAAGCCAAATCTGACACATTCCATGCAAAATCCCAAAAAATGGACTGGACATAATTATTGGCACCTTCTCAAAATTGTAAGAAATAATTGCATTCCAAGTGTGTGATGCTCCTGTAATTTGTAATTATACTTACCTGTATCAATTAACAGATCTTAATGAGAAACTCATTGATGGTTACTGAAATCGACTGATTTCAGTTATTTTTTCCAAGGGGTGTGCTACCAAATATTAAATGGAGGGTGACAATAATTTTGTCCATTCCAACTTTATGGGGATAAAGTTGTTGCTACCAAGAAAAAGCTGAAAAAAGCATGCCACTCCTAAAACACACATACCTTAGACCCATTCGCATATGAGCTACTTGGCCAAAACACACAATACTTATTTGGGTGCCATTCATTGTTAATGGCATCCCATGACAAAATGCCCAAAAAACAAGCAAAAATGCACTAATTAAATGCGTGCCAAAGTCGGCTCCACAAAAGGGTACAGAAGCTACTCTGGAGAGTACATGTCAACCAAAAAACATTTAAAAGAAATGCAGGAAAAATGTGATTCTCCTGCATCACTCATATGTGAATGCAGCCTTAGGGCTTGTTCACACTTGACTGTTTAACCAACTCTTGCTGTTTTACCAACTCCAAACTCCCCTATAGCATTTGGAAAGCGTTGGTCCAGCGTTTGCAGAGCGTTTCTTAACGCTCGGCAAATGCTCCGCAAACGCCGCATGTGCGGTTCAGCGGTGGTTGCTAGGCGTTTGCCGAGCGTTAAAAACGTCCTACAAACGCCTATAATGAAGTTTGATCGGTGTTACCGCTCCGCAACCACCCCGCAACTGTGTCGCAAACCACCACAACGCCGGCCGGGCGTTTGCGGAGCGGCACCATAGACTAGAATAGGAGGCTTCAACGCCTCCTGACTCGACCAGAGGCATCCGTTTTGCCGCGCCGCGACACTAATGCTCCCGTTAGAACAGCACCATGTGCTGCAATGTGCAGAATTGTCCGAGGCGTTTGGGAAGCAGTAAAAACGCTTCCCAAACGCCTTTCTGCCGCCTGCACACAACACTAGTGTGAATGTAGCCTTACAGTAGCCATGCATGGCTCAATTCTCTCCCATTCAGCCCTTAGGCTGAATGAGAGAAAATTAAATGGATTCTCCATCCCCACTAACAGTGTAAGTGGAGGAATCTTCTCTAACAGCTATTGAAGTCGGGTCATTATGGCACAAGTGACCCTTGTGAAATTTTCCACTCAGTTCAATCAATTTTTAAATCAAGTTTTTCTTCAAACTGGGGGGTGCTTGCTGAGCCGCCCAAAATCTTCATTTCAGCTGATTTAGCAGGAATTGACCTATATTCGCGCAGTCTATGGCCAGCCTTTGTTGGGCTCTTATGGATGCAGATTTTCTGAACAATATGTGCACTTTGGTTTAGTGGCTGATAACAAATGTGTTTTTTTTTTTTTTGGCGAAACTTGCTTTGCTGATCTATGGATTGTAAATGCTTTCATTTGTGTTTCTCCTAGGTTCTAACTGCATTCTTTCACATGACCCACTAGGTGAGTAAATACATTTGTCTTCTTCCATACCAGTATATCCATTGACTTATTCAATAAGTCAGCTGTGTGATATGTGCAGAATACAAAAAGATCAGAGACCTTTCACTAATTAGATACTCTATCCCTGGACTCACGGCACTTTTCACATCATCATTCCTCATTTAAATGTTGTATTTCTATCTGCTGAATCCTACACATTTTTTTACATGATTTTCTGCTCATTCAATGTTTTATGACTGCTTGCTCTAGATTTCTGCAGCTGGTTATTTCATTAAGCACTACCTTACTAAATAGAGGCAGTTGGCATTTTCTGAACAACTTTGCAATTTATGTTTCTCACAGTATAGGTGTCCTTTAAGGCTGTACTTTGTTATACTATTAATGCTATTATAATTATGCTGTTAATACATATCAGTATTTTAGTTGTAAGTATGTATAAAGGCTTGCTTAAAGCTCAACTCCAGCCTTTGAGTTTTCCCCATATTTACAAGCAAATACTCTCCTGTGTTGAAACTAAATATTCTCAATTTCTTGCAAACTTGCTTCTCCACAATAAAACCCTTTGAAGCTACAGCAGCTATCTTTGAGCCTGCCTTCATGTTCTCTCTGAACAACTTCAATCATCATCAATCCCCTCATGATCCGTTCCATGGTTGGCCTCACAGCTATCATCATTCTCTGCCATCAGTCATTATGTTTCTGAGCATTATAGAGACAAATACATCTTTAGCATCCCATCAGGTGTGCATGCTTCCCAGGTGATGAAGACTTTAGTTGTGCAATCTCATTTTAGTTGCTTCATTACAGATCAAGCAACCGATCAGTAGATTGCCCAGCTAAAGCAGCAGCACCCAGTAGCCAGCAGGGAAGAGTATGCATGTCTAAAGGAATGCCAAGGATGTATTCTTTCATAGAATGCTCTTGAAAGAAAATGCTGTGAAGTTTTCAGGAGCATCCCTGCACCTCTGCTGTAGTATCAACAGAGATATATGTTTTTGAATACAAAAGGAAAATTTGATTTTCAGTTGCATATTGATTGGGGGGGGGGGGGGGTCAAGGAAAGGTATTATTTGCATGTGGTACATTTTCAGCTTTAAAGCAGAACCCTGAGAAATAGACACAATCTATCCCTACCCTACACTCCTAGGATTAATAGCCTAGAGGTGCAGGAATAAGCTTGTATTACTGATCTAGGCGGACCCTCTGTATCATTGTGTACAGTGCAGAGGCACTGGAGTTTTGCTTCACTATGGGTAACAGTGACCTTTTAAAGAGTATGTTAGCCCAACATTTCATATTCCTGATATGTCTCTGTTGTACCATGTATTTGTGTTAAAAAAGTGTCTTGTGCTCTTTGTATTGTTTTCTTTGTGTAAAGTACCTGGTGATCCTACTAGTCCCCCTCTTTCCTATTTCAAACCCACCATGCTAGGCATGACAGCACATCCATCCCAGACTGGTCAGTTTTGTGACTGTGCTGGGATCAAAGCCTGCCTGTCCTCCAGTGGTCAAGACTTGTGCTGACAGCCAGGGCTGCTGATAAGAGTGGTACATCCGGGCCTCTTGTAGGGGGCCCGGGGCCCTGTCACTTTGACAGAGGAGCCCAACAAGCTGGCAGCTTCAGGTTTCTACATGCTTAGTATAGCAGCCAATAGTGCTGCTTATCTGAGCATGGGGGAGGGACAAGACAAAATACACTGCACTTGCTGCAGCGACAGTTGCTCCTCCTCCCACCCATCCTTAGCCAATCAGCAAGCACTACCCCCCCCCCCCCCCCCCCTTCTCCAGCCCATCACATTTGACTGTATATGGAAGATGCTGGTGATTGGAGCAGGGCTGAATGGGGGCACCAGGAGGGGAGACACAAAAATCCTGAAGCCCAGGAGCCACAAGAAGAAGGTACATTCAGAAACTACTGTGTCACTGATCACTTGTAATGCAGCTGATCTTATCAGTGTGTTCAGGCAGCGTGTAGGTTACACAGGATACATACATGCCCTGCGTGTTCAGGCAGCATGCCGGTTACACAGGATACATACACTTCTCACTTTTTTTTTTTTTTTTATAAATAACTGCCTAGTCTAACCTGCACCTGAACACACTGATAAGATCAGCTGCATTACAAGTGATCAGTGACACATCATTGGACACATTGCTTGATGTTGTCTTTGGAGGATTTACTGCTGGTTAGGTGGTTAGGGCTGGCAGCTTCACAGATTCATTAACTGTTTACTGTCCTGCACTGCTGTTGACCTGCTGACTGTTTTATAAAAACTGGAAGATTGGAAGTACTGCTGCCTTCTGTCACTTGTTGTACTTTGTAAAGAGGATTTATGACTTGATCTTGCAGAGCTGGTTTAAGTAGAGTGGAGCAGCCCCTGCAATATTATATACAGTCTCTGACAGTCTCCTGTACTCTTAGATTGTAAGCTCCAAGGAGCAGGGGCCTTCCTAAATCTCTTGTATTGAACTGTATTGTTGCTTTATTGTCCCCCTTTATATTGTAAAGCGCTGAGCAAACTGTTGGTGCTATATAAATCCAGTATAATAATAATAATAGAAATAATATCTGCAGTCCCCAGTCCCCTCTGACAGTCAGTATGTCTGCAGTCTCTGACAGTCTCCTGTAGTATGTCTGCAGTCTCTGACAGTCTCCTGTAGTATGTCTGCAGTCTCTGACAGTCTCCTGTAGTATGTCTGCAGTCTCTGACAGTCTCCTGTAGTATGTCTGCAGTCTCTGACCGTCTCCTGTAGTATGTCTGCGGCCTTTGACCGTCTCCTGTAGTCTGTCTGCTGTCTCTGACAGTCTCCTGTAGTATGTCTGCGGTCTCTGATGCTGTCTCTGACCCTCTCCTGTAGTATGTCTGCTCTCTGTCTCTCCTGTAGTATGTCCCTCTCACCGTGTAGTATGTCTGCTGTTTCTGACCGTCTCCTGTAGTATGTCTGCATCTCTGTAGTATGTCTGCAGACCGTCTCCTGTACTGTCCCTGACCGTGTACCATGTGACCGTCTCCTGCTGCGGTCTCTGAGTCTCTGACTGTCCCCTGTACCATGTGTGCAGTCTCTGACTGTCCCCTGTACCATATGTCTGCAGTCTCTGACCGGTCTCTGACCGTCTCCTGTCTCCTGTAGTATGTCTCTGCGGTCTCTGACCGTCTCCTGTAGTATGTCTGCGGTCTCTGACCGTCTCCTGTAGTGTCTGCGGTCTCTGACCGTCTCCTGTAGTATGTCTGCGTCTCCTGTAGTCTGTCTGACCGTCTCCTGTAGTATGTCTGCGGTCTCTGACCGTCTCCTGTAGTATGTCTGCGGTCTCTGACCGTCTCCTGTAGTATGTCTGCGGTCTCTGACCGTGACTGCGTCTCTGACCGTCTGTAGTATGTCTGCGGTCTCTGACCGTCCCCTGTATTATGTCTGCGGCCTTTGACCATCTCCTGTAGTATGTCTGCAGTCTGCAGTCTCTGACCGTCTCCTGTAGTATGTGCAGTCTGACTGTCTCCTGTAGTCTCTGCAGTCTCTGACCGTCTCCTGTAGTATGTCTGCAGTCTCTGACCGTCTCCTGTAGTATGTCTGCGGTCTCTGACCGTCTCCTGTAGTATAGTCTCTGACCGTCTGCGTAGTATGTCTGCAGTCTCTGACCGTCTCCTGTAGTATGTCTGTCTCTGACCATCCCCCCTGTATTATGTCTGCGGCCTTTGACCATCTCCCTGTAGTATGCAGTCTCTTACCGTCTCCTGTAGTATGTCTCTCTGCAGTCTCTGACCGTCTCTCCTGTAGTATGTCTGCGGCCTTTGACCGTCTCTGTACCGTGTCTGCGGCCTGTAGTATGTCTGTGGTCTCTGACCGTCTCCTGTAGTATGTCTGCGGTCTCTGACCGTCTCCTGTAGTATGTCTGCGGTCGGTCTCTGACCGTCTCTGACTGTAGTATGTCTGCGGTCTGCGTCTCTGACCGTCTCCTGTAGTATGTCTGCGGTCTCTGACCGTCCCCTGTATTATGTCTGCAGCCTTTGACCGTCTCCTGTAGTATACAGTCTCTGACCATTTCCTGTAGTATGTCTTCAGTCTCTGACCATCTAGTAGTATGTGCCTGGTAGGTGTAGAATAGAGGGACATTTTTTCTTATCTAGCGCACAGACTGAATTGCACCACATGCTGGAGCCGCATTTGTCGATGGTAAAATTAAAGGCCTTGCTAACAGTCCCTGTTGCTGGTGGAGTAATACCAGCCTACCTCCTTCAGCAAGTAAGTGCTGAGGAGAGGGCAGCTCAGTCTTAGGGAAACAGCAGCAAAACAGTGTCAGTCTCAGGCTGGCAGCTATCATCATTATCATCAGTGCAGCAGGCAGTGGTCAATCTGCAGGAGTCAGCACACAGAGGGATCATCTGCAGAGCATTCTCACAAAAAGTACAGTGAGATCAAAGTGCGCACACACCTTTCCCCCATGCCGTGCCCTGCTGTTGCCCATGATGAATTGTACTGTCAGCAGCCAAAGTTTATCATCATCATCACACAGTACAGGGGCTTTTGAACCACAGCACCTGTATTGTGTGATTATTATGATGATGATACTAGAAGGACAGTGAAATGCATTTTACAATTGCTACATTCACACCAGCATTTAGGGCCGGTGAAAATTGTAGCGGCAGTTCCTCCTTTGGCTCTCATCAGGTAGGTGCTGTTGCTGGCCCCGTTCTCTATAATGACAGGTCACTCGAGGCCTGCATTTTGTTTTGAAGCAGAGTCAGGGGAGGGACCAGGGGTGGGGTCAAGGGCAGAGTCGAAGGGGGCCCCGACAAGTAGGTTTCTCCTTGTCTCTTACTGGCCAGCCCCCTACAGTGTCAACCCCCACCTCTCCAATCCTCTTATGCAGCTGAGAACAGAGGTTATGTGATTGTGAGTTATGTTTTTTTTAATATCTATACATACGTTTTGCCTTGCATTTCTATTTTAAACTGAATGGGTTGTTTTACAAGGTGAAGGTTTACATATACTTTAAAGCCAAA